GTTAAGAAAACCTGCAGCCATTATGTCATTTTGGGTAAATTTAGGGTAAGAGTTAATTGAGCAGATTTGTCAGTCAAAGGGGTTGTACATACTCAATGTTCTCCAATACATGTTCCTTACGCTAGAAAAAATCTCAATCATAGTAGCATAAATTTGCTCAAAAATTATTCCACGCAGTTACAACTCTCGGATTAAATTCAGCTAATAATTTTGCAAAATTAGTGAACGAATATGAGTAGGTCACTGCCACAATATGCACCTGTGACCTTGGGTTACTTACTTCACATATTTCCATCTAACCACCACCACCCATTCTAGTATATTTCTTTTCGAGTTATTGACCAGAGAAGTTTATCTCTATCCAGATTCATTCGTCATGCCAGTGAAAGGAATTAATTGAAATGCATATGTATGTAAGAATAAATATTTCCATAATACGAGCTTAATAATGTCGCGTCAACGTGGAGTCTAAGTCAGTTAAGATGGGCAAGGATAGCGGTGAGCATTTTCGTTATCAATACTTCGATAGGAAATGGATTTGAATGGCGGTGGTGGTTGTCTGGGAATGTGTGCAGATTGCCACGTTTATTAAGAATATGGCTTAGAAGATCGTAGCACAAGTCGAGCCATTAAAATAATGAAGTTTTCCTCCTAAAACTATGGAATGTTTGTAATAGGCAAATAAAATCCAACAAAAGTATGAAATTGTATAGATGATGAATACATATCCTGGATTAGTAAATATTCCAAGCTAACAGCTATAGTTGAACGTATAAATTTGACCATCATAATTTTCTTGGAAATTTTATCAATTTAACTACGCGTCGAGTAAAGCGATACTAACTAATAGTTTAATGTTATTAAGGTGAACGGTGTGTGTAATATATGCGGTGCTGAAATTCGAGAGTGAGAACATAAATTGGCACAAAAATATTGCTTGAGAAGAAAAATGTCGGTAAAGCGTGGATATTAAGTCGGTTATGAGTTTTGCTAATTAATCATAAAATCTATGTAGGTCCTCTGACAATGATAAGTATGTAAGTTATATGCATCTGGGATTTAGATACACCTAATTTAGACCTTCCACCAAAAGCCATGCAAATTCCTTTTCTATCGAAGATTTGACCACAGAAAAGTTCATCCCTGTCCTGCCTCACACGTCATGATGTTGAAAAGCATCGTTGAAATGCATATTTAAGAATACATATTTTCACCGTACTGGTCTGGTAGTGTCGCGACAATGTGAAGATGAGCAGGGATCTCGATGAATATTTCCCGTATGAATTCTTCCACACGAAATTGATTTGAATGAGCGGTGGTGGCTGTCTATAGAAGTAACCAGACATGTTTGTTATCCAGCTTGATTAATATTAATAAAGGTCGAGACATTATAATAAAGTGGTGTTCCTTCTAAAATATGCAAGGTTTGGGTTACATATTATTTTTTTAGTATGAAACAAATTAGCGTGCTCGGGATGAAATGAGTATGCCCAATTATGTATTAAACAATTTGTAACAGATATGTAACAGATATGTAAGTTCGGTATTTGGCTTTAATGGAAAGTATGTGAATGTGACAAAATTGTGGATTTTACTCACTAAGCTTGGATTGATTTAATTTGGTTATGAAAGAAGCTTGTGTAACTTTTTAGAAAAGCTGCAGAGCTTGGCCTGGTTTTAATGTACAGAACATACTTGATTAAGAGCCTATTGAAGATTTTGTTATTATAAAAAATTAGCGCTTGGTTAGTAGGAAATTGCAAAATTGAAATTTACATCAATTACCATGGCTTCTGCATGATCACCCAATTCACCATCCTCTAAACAATCATCCAGAAAAGCCATGGTAATGCCTGAAATTGGTAGCCGTTTTTCGCGCCATGCTTTGTTTATAGACACAGGAGTCCCTACGATGATGTGGGTGCCAGCTTTGACTTTGTCATCAAATGCAACCATAATTCCGGAAGAAATATTTATGGTGCTTTTCATAATTTCCAAGGTGGCCAGCATTTCTCTCGTAGTTCTCTCGTCCCTTGTCCATACAATTGCTTGGCAGTCCGGTATGGTAGGGTTAACAAGAAGGGAAAGTAGGATCCGGATTAGGGTGGTTTTACCCCCAAGAGCTGGACACCTCAGAATTGCAGGGCGAAGCGTTAAACCTGTTACAATTGCACGGCTTTGAAATGCATTAAATTCACGATGAGGAAAGATATTTTGCAAATTGCGAGGACAAATCCAACGATGGGCGTTTCCATGTGTCGAAAATGTCCTTAAATTCTTTGGGCAATGGATTCTTAACATCTGTTTCCCCTTTGTGACTTTCTATGGTATGATCCCATAATTTGAGTTTATTAGTAAAAGTAGTGCATGTCGAGCTAAGGCCGCATCTGTGCATATAAAATGTTAAAATTGTAATATAATATTGAAAGATAAATTCAATTTTTTTTCACAAACTATAACAATATTAATTTCGAAAAATGGAAGTTTTATTTTACCTGAATCTTATTATTCCAAAAGTTGTCCTCCTCGGGATCTTGGACTTCTGATGGACAGCACGGGCCCTAGTTATTATAAAATACGTATAAAAAAATGTCGAAATAATGGATATGGTACATATGTGTATTTAAACGAGATCGGATTCTTGCTGAATTATTTCTTGACAGGTTTGTGTAACTGAAATAAATGCATGTCAATTTATTCTTTCCGGAAAATTAGAGAAAAAGCTTGTCTAGTTTTAACTAATAAACCATGTTGTTTGCGATTTTAGAAGGAATCTTTAAATCAATAAAAATATATCTAACTGGTTGAATTTATTTATGTAGTAATATATCACGACAAAAATTGTTCCTGGTAAATTGTTCATATCCGAAAACACTAATTTATGCACGATGATATGGAGGCCGACTTACACAGGAGGAGTACCCACCGAAGCTGCGCTGGATGTCCCAGATTCGTTCCACTCTTTCAGTGTTTCAAGGCTGACCTAATTCGAGTAAAGAAATTGTAAAAAAAGCAATGCTGAACTGGAACCAAACATGGCATAACGTACCTTTAGCTCCATTCCTGGAGAATCCAATACCTGCAGGGTAAACTGCTCCCTATTTGGGGTTACGTTGACTACTTTTCCTAATTTATTTTGACCTGAAATATAATATCATTGTTAATTAGAGATACCAATTTGTCAAACCAATTTCTACAGTAAGGCGTAAAATAGTATGAAAATTAGATCACATCCCTGCGACATTGTGTGCAAAATCAATAAAGCAAAGTAGCCCCTATCCTTATGCATATGTACATGTATTTCGAATAAACTAGTCTTCTTATGCAGGAATTTTTTGATGAAAGTGTAATCATCAATTGCATACAATGTGGTGTGGACGAATCTCTGTACTATTAAGAAATTGCCGACGATGGTGTAAATATCGCCAAAATTGAAATATTATCCACCCTATACATATCTAAATGTATCATACTACGTTTCGTTAGTTCAGTCTGTTAATATTTGTTACGTTTGTGTATTATTTCCCTGCTGGATTCAAGTATTATCCAAGATTAAAATTTTCACTCCAAATAACGCGATTGTATCCATGAAGTATTGTACGTACTGTAATCCTGATTGGATAAATTTTAATTTATTTAACCGCAAAAATAAACGGATCCATACTTTTGAATTTCTGCTACTGTGCGAATTTGAACGCGTGAAGGGAATTTAAAAAAATGTTCTATGCATTTTTCTCTTTTCATTTGTGTATAATTGGTTTTTATAATTTTATAATTATGTTTTCAAAAAATTCTAGAAATTCAAAATTTTATGCAGAGTTTGATTTTTGAAAAATGTCAAAATTCAGAAATTTCCAAAATTTCGAACACTAGATAATATATATTGAGACTGAAGGAGGCTAATATTAAACATAAATGTTTTGAGTTTTTTAATTCGCGTAAAAATTCAAATAGTTCTAATGATTTGAAAATCAGAAAGTTTGAGTGGAAAAATTATGAAATCCTTTCTAATTCACATATTATCGAAATTCAAAAATATTAGTCGGCTTATTCACGGGGATCAATAAATTAAAATTAATCCCAGAAAGGTTGAAGTATAACATTTCACGCAATCGCATTGTAACCATTTCATTCCCTATTGGTTCATTAAATGATATCGAAGCTAAAATAAAATAAGCTAATAATTAAATAAGTATGTTCGTATTTGTTGGTTTTCTTATTTCCGATTCTCATGATTGTACGTTTGAAAAGGTGTTGAACCAAAATAGCAAGGTGACCCACTTTCTTGAAAGGACCCAAATTTGGAAAGCAGTTTTAGAAAGGATTTCACCTTGAACAAATGTATAATTAGATTCTTCCACTGTGTTAAGTACATGTGTACATTGTTTGTAAAATCTTCCGCCTATAAAATTCGTAACCTTTTCCAGACTCGCTTTAGTAAAAGTCAACAATCGGTTTGTTACAAGGTAGGATAGATTTTAAGCAATTACTGTTTAACTGTGTTTGGGTATTTACGATATTAGCGAGTTTGTGTTGCTACGTTTTCCGAATTTCCGTAAAGCTGCGTATCTCATGGGAGTGGTCAAAATTCCCGGAACACATCTGTAAATTATACTGGGAGATAGTTACATTTTCCATATTAATTTTGAAAATTTTGTCCACTATCAAGAGATAAGGAGTGTTACGGAAATTCTAAAAACGTAGCAACACGAACTCCCTATTATGACGTGTCACATGGCCGCAAAAATCTAAATTTCTAAACGCAAGACTGTATTTACGAGTTATAAACTGAAAAGTGATTATCTGAACATACATATACGGAAATAGATTGATTTAAAGTTAACAGTAGTTTAGGAGGAGACCTTGTCTACATGTCAGTGTTGGATTTCGATGCCCTTTGGATATGTGGTAGGTCTACATGAGACATGAAAACCTGTGGGAGTTGGTGAGTGAATTGAGAAATTGTGGGATCACAAAAATATATGTACACATTATGGAAATCCTAGCAAAATTGGATTTTTGCGGATGGTTTTACTTCGTCAAAATTAGCATGGGGCATTGAAATCCTCCACTCACAAGACAAGGTCTCCTCCTTGGTAGATACATACATATTTGTCGTCTATGGATTTAGTTGAGAAGTAAATAGTACAGCAGTTTTTTCAAGTATGGATTTGCAAAATCATTTGGTAAGTATAAAAATTTATCGTGAGATTTTTAAAAGTTCTCCGAGACTGGGCAAATAACTCAATATTACACGGTTTCGTACAATATGCAATCCTTTACGCAAAACAGTATCAAACTCGTTGATCAAGCGTGTGACGCTTGATTAATAAATTTTGAGAGTACATGGCTCCGACGCTGTTTAGGATTGGATTTTAACCATTAAAACTTTCCCCTCGCACCGTATTATCCATCTGGACATAAGAGGCTCATGGAGGGTCAAATCGGGCAACTTTAGTGTCAAATTATCAGCTAAAATTTGTTTTCAAATTATTATAATTCGCGTCTTTGCTGGTATTCGAAGTAAATACGCAGAGGCGCATAATTATCAGGGAATACACTCAAAATAATTTTGTAATACAATCGTCACCACGTGTAGTCACTATGTGGCTCTACCGCCGTCGTAAGGATTTTATCAACCAAGAGTAACAAATAATTCTGCGAAATTTGAATTTATCACTGTCCAGTAAAAAATGTTTCCAGCATCGTAAAAAATTTTATTTTGGCAGAATTTATTGTTACTCTTTGGTGGCAAATCGTAACCAATGCTTTGGAGCCACATAGTATCACCGAATTATTTTGAGTGTATATAACGCCGTCTTCCGGCCGTCACCGTCTTCTACACGTCGAGTAGAAGACGGTGGGTCGAGTCCTACCATATTTGTTATGGGAGTATATTATGTTATACACGTTTTCCATATATCATCATGGGCTTAATAAGACCAAAAAGAGGAAGCAACTAATGCACCATGACAATATTTCACTCAAATGTATAATATTTTCCGTCCTATTTTTTTTAGATAATTACCGCAATATTTCGCCACCTCGACCACCCCAATCTTCTCAATGCCCGTTTGGTCTGCTCCACGTGGGCATCCGAAGGGGCTAAGCATATCGGAAAAACTTCCAAAGTTTTGGTGCGCGTGCATCCAGCACATGAATTTTCGCGTCGTTGGATCGATCCTGACCCTGATTTGGAAGAAGTTGCAAATTTCTTGGTTAGGAATCGTATCCGACATACGTTGCTCCTTTCTCTGGTGCAGTGCCCTTGGATTGGGGAATACGACTGTGACCAGCTAGAAGTATGGGGAGATAACCGTATTGATACGTCATTTGGTGAAAGGGTCGTCCCCTATTTACAAAGGACGGGAGCACTCATCCCATCTGCCAGGATTGAAGTTTCGCTCTGTGGAGAAGACGATGTCAAATTATTTCGAGCTGTTATGTCGTCTCTTACTCAACTTAGGGCCCTACAACTTGAATCAGTTCACCTTAAGGTGCAATACGCGGAAGAATTTGTATGTGTACCGGCTACCTTGAAATCACTAGCCATCAGGATACAAAATCCGCCAGAAATATGTGCGGTATGTTGGACACTTGTTTCGTTGTACTTAAATATAGGCGTAATAAATATAAACGGTGGATATGCATATATCAATATATAATCACTTTGTAATTCCTAAATTATTTAGAAATTTGTCTGAAACCAAAGAAATCGAATTTCTAAATATATACAGGGTAGAAAGAAATTGTCTTCGACAGATTTCCTCAAAAAGTGTCAAAGTGTACATATTTCTCACAAGTGAATATTTTTTGGTTGCAATTTTTCATGGACTTTCATCTATCGACTTCCATGATCAATGATGCCCTCGTGTCTTGGTTTCAGACTCTCTGTTAATGTTTTCAAGGTGGTTTTTGCGTTAGCGTTCCACGTTACTTGCACCTTGGTTATTAACTCCCTCTTGTCCGTGGTTTTGGATCTTGGTATACATTTTCCTTGAGCATGGACTCATAAGCATGGACTCATGTCGTGCGCGCCAGAGTTCAGTAGGACACCCGAGTTTTTCGGGTTTCGACCCGGCCCAACCCGACCCATCGGGTTGGGTTGGGCCTTTCCTAGGTCGGGTCGGGTTGGGTTGGGCTTTTCCTCCATCCGAAAAAGTCGGGTCGGATCGGGTTGGGCTTTGAAAAAGGTTTACCCGACTGAACTCTGGTGCGCGCATAGGCGCGCACAACCCATCGGCTACCAAGGGTGGGCAAGATACTGTATCTTCAAGATATATGTATCGGCGATACATTTTGTATCTTGTATCTTAAGAATTACAAGTTACAAGTAACTTGTATCTTGTATCTTGAATGCACTTACTTTATAAAATATTTTGTATCTTGTACATTGATTTGGTATATGAGTGATGATGATTTATTTGGTATATATATATATATATATATATATATATATATATATATATCAAAGTCATAAGGGGATTAGCCAGTAATCCTTATTGCTGCATCACACTCGACATTTGGACATGCAAGGAATGATGCGTGCATTTCTCCGAACAATGCTAAAAAGTCAGCTGAAATCATCGAGTTGTTTACAAAGTTTGCAGTCGGCTTTTCGAATAAAAAAAGAATCAGCTGGAAAATAATGTGAGTTTGAACATGCAGATATTACGCCACAAATTAAACGAAGCAGAATCTAACAGCACACAAAAGAGTGTCGAGTTTTTTAAGTTTGGTTCATCTCAAGACGCATCCAGTGACAACTGTGGCACAGAAAATAAAATCCGAAGGACTAGGGTCAAGGGTTGTCGATTTATGTCCCCCCCCCCGTTTTTATTCTTTTTTTCTGAAGGGCATAATGAGACAATAATAAATATATGAGGTAAAGTTGAAAAAAATTACGCCCGACCACTTTTCTAGGCCAAAAACCGAATATTTCGACCCCCTGTCTTTTTTGTCGTCCGGCTGGCCCTATCTTTGTAATTGTAAGATCCGGGAAAAAAATGAAGGTACTTACGTTATCTGACAAAAAATATTACACTAGCCCATCAGAGTTTAACAGAAATAAAATTTTGAAATGAATATCTGATTATTCCCGAAGAAATGACGAAATGCGTCATACTTTTATTTATTTATTGCATCTAACTCGTTGATTTCGGCCTAACTAGTTACTTGATCAAATACGTATAGCTTTGGGACAGAACATTTAAAAAAAATCAGGGGTGGGGTGTGCCATAGTTTTTTTGTTAAAAATCGATGAAGTTGGCACAAGCTGTAAAGTTTGTGGAAAAAATAAAGAGTTTTTAATTTCCACGTGTTCATTTAGTTACACACTCCGGGCCAAACGAACCTGGGATTGTAGCCACACCTATTCTACATAGTTTGGGAAAAGAAAAGTGGTTGGGGTGTATCACCGTTTTCTTGATATAACTCGATGAAGTTGACAAAATATGGTATTCTTAGTATTAAGTGCAAGTTTTTATTTTGTATGTCGTGATTGGTAAGCAACATGCATGTCCAACTGTATCAGGATTATAGCCACACCCATCCTAGATAGTTGGTATGAAAGAAAGTGGGTGGGGCCTAACACAGCTTGCTAGAAACCAATTAAGATGATAAAATCACATGTTTTTAATATTTGTGATACTTTAACAACTTCATCGATTTATATCAACAAAACGGTGATAGACCCCACCAGTTTTTTTCATCCATACTATCCAGGGTGGGTGTGGCTACAAACTGCCTATGGGATCACTCGGATTCTGCATTCCAATGAAGACCTAGAAAATTAAAACTATTTGTGTTCTAAACATTTCAATAACTTGATCGATTTATATAAAAAAAACAGTGAGAGGCCCCACCCACTTTTTTCTCCTAAACTATCTACGATGGGTGTTACTAAAATATTGAGTCAGTCTGACATAGTTTGTGGATTCCAACGAAGATGAGAGAAATTAAAACTCGTATGTTTCTCATTTTTGCGAATCTTTAGCGCTTAATTGATTTACTACAAGAAAACTGTGATGATCGGCTCTCACATTCTCCTCGCTGACCAAACCTGGCTGGAAGTTTCACCAGCAGGTTGTAGATAAAATCAGATGTATTATATCTAAAATCCGACAATCATCGCGTGCATATTAACCTCAAAAATATGACCTCAAAGTAAGGTGGATTCTGAACTCAAAGGGTTACAGAGGTAGATATGATGATTTGGGTACCGTAAATGCCGCATACTATAAAGACAAGATCATACCCTTACACATTTGGTCAACGACGGTTCAAGCTTTATTCCCCCAATCAAATATTGTCAGTTTCCAACAAGACAGTTTTGTTGTGTAAATACTTTCCGAAATTAATTGAACACAGTTTATAACCCTCATACATTGCCACTCTTTTGCACTACTGCTTAGAGTACTTTTCCATATCCCACACGATTTTTTTGTAGTAAATGGGTCTCCCTAGTTAGCTTATGAGTTGTTAGGTCCAAGATTAATGATTTCACAAACTTTTGCATAATACTGTATTTAATTTTGTTTATTTTAGGGGAAAAGCAGTCATTCAACTGCTACGTAACCTTCCTAGCATAATTTTTCCAGTTTTATGATAAATTTTTGCTAAATCAATGTTTTCATAGTAGGCGATACCTATCTGCATCAATTAAGTCGATTTTTACCCGTGGCAAAGTTTAGATTTCCCCATAACAAAACGGTATTTGTCGATATCTTCAATTTTTCAGCAATTTGTTTCATATATGATTTCTCTCCAAATAATGGAGGTATTTAAACCCAAATAAATATGCTCACGATTGACCGAGCATACTTGTTGTACCCATGTTAAAAATTTAAAATAAAAACCTGCAATAGGTCAAAAGCTACACTTAAATTTCTGCCTGGTGGGAGAGGGAAATTGTCTGTCCCACATAATTTCTGTCTGCCGTTTACAAATACAAAGCTTGATTTTGATAGATTGTATAATTTGCTGGGCCCCAAAAATGCAAAAATAACATGAATATCTATAGACAAAAGCAAATTTGAATTTCTCTGAAATCTGTTATAAAATAAAGATTATAAAATGTAAAATGCTCGAGATTTCTTGACTAGAACGCTAATTACATATGTCGTCCATCCATCTGATATTTATGTTTTTTCAAAATGGATCAAATTGTATTCCGATTTCACTAAGCAAATTCATAATAATTTGATCTCGTAAATATCTACATACAATATACGGTTAAAGAATCAACGAAAGACGGTTATGGAAGAACGGGTTTGAATTAGTTTTGCAACAATCATCCATCCTCCAACTTTTGAGAATTAGTGCGATGATTCTGCATCTGCTATGTGTAACCTTAATAAACTGGGGTAAAAGTAATTAATTTTTGTACAGGTCCATCACATTCCAGAAGAGAGTCCCGAGTGCCTAAAGCTCTTCGACAATGTCGAATTTGTTGCTGAGATTGGCTGGGAATCTTTTCATAATATCAGTTTCCGTGAAACCTTATTCTACGCAATGAGAGAAGATATCGAGGAATATCCAGACAGTTTTAGAGCTGTGCGAGGCGTCAAATTGGAAATCAAAAGGCGTGTGACGGCTCGCTTACTAAAAGAGCTGCCAAGACCACTAAGTCACATTTATATTACAGGTGACAAAATTTTTATTAATTATATTTTGCATAATGAATATGTATGTATGTACGATTAATATTTACACATAGTCTGTGCATTAAACCGAGATTAAATATTTGTTAAAAGTTTGATTTGTAAATGCAAATTCTGCAACAGCAAAAACTAACAAGGGAACCTTCTGAGGTGTCTGTCGAATCCAGGGCTGCCACCTACATATACTAAAATGTGTACAATATATGACTTTGATGGTGAACTGAAGTCATTTCCGTGTAAAATTAACTTTTCGTCAGGTTGTGACGACTTTAGTGACGAGCGGAGGACCATTGTGGTGAGGTGCCGAGGACCATTGTGGTGAGGAGCGGAGGAGGAGGAGAGAATCGGCGGAGAGGTCATCGACACCCACTAGATCACCATGATCGTTCGCTCGCTCATTCCGAAAAACAAAGCATTTTATGAAAACTATTTATTTACAAAATTGTGGAAAAAATTTTAATACAAAATTGTAATACAAAATTCTAAACACAAAACTTCTGGCAAAAAGGCAACTGTATTGTTTTCAATTTTCAATTTGTTTAACAATTTGTTGCAAAAATTTAATAAAAAAATTGTAAACAAAAAATTACAATTTTCTATATTGGTATCGAACACCCTTTACTAAAACAAATCTAGTAAATCTTGTAAATTTAATTTTTACGCAAATATTAAGGAATGTAAAATACAAAATATAATGAATTGTTGATCCACGTCATACAAATTAAAAATATTTCGGGTTTATGCGATTAAAAAAATGATTTTCATTTTGTATGATCTGGGTTTAAAATGAATTACATTTTGTATTTTGTATTCTTAAATATTTGCCAAAAAATTAAATCAATAATTAAATTAACAAGATTTACTAAATTTATCTTAGCAAAGGGAATTCTTTTCCGAATACAAAATTGTAATTTTTTGTTTACAATTTTTGTACCAAATTTTTGTAGCAAATTGAGAAAAAATTCTAAATTATAAACAAAGACTATGATTTTTTCCAGAGTTTTTAAAAATTATAAACAAAATTTTTGTGTTTACAATTTTTTCCACAATTTTGTAAAACAAAATGGTTTTCATAAAACGCGTCGTCGTTCGAAATTAGCGAGCGAACGATCATTTTGATCGAGTGGGAGTCGATGACCTCTCTGCCGCTTCTCTCCTGCTCCTCTAGGGTTGCCGTCCGACCGGATAGGATAGGATAGGATAAAATTAATTCGTATCCTATCGGATAAATCTATCGCTCGGATAATCCGACTCGGATAAATATCCAATAATTATCCTATCCGATATCCGCCGGATATCCGACGGATAGGATAGGAAAATGTATAAAAACTTTGTGTCAACCGGCATATTAATAATTCACATTTTATTCAAAGAAAAAGTTTTCTACCCTAAAAAAACATTTTCCAAACTCAACCAGTCTTTAAGACACATGCAAAACTGAATTGTGTCAGGTAATAATCTATTTTACATGGTGTTACTAGGTGTTTTGCACCGGAGATGGTGAAGTAGGTTTTTTGTACTTCCTTGAGCCTTCCTCGAGTCATACCTTAATCAGAATTTATAACAATTTCCAATTACCATCTTACTAATAAAATATGAAAATAGGAAAGAATGTGGCATAATTGAACTGCAATGACGGTACTTCTTGGGGACAAAAGCTTCACCATTTTTGTTTTCTGTCGACATATCGACGAAATGAGACCAAACCCAACTTTTTGATGTGTCAACCAGCTCCCCACTATCAAATGGGTCACGAGACTCTTCATTTTCGACAATTTCAATTTCCTGACTCTCGTCCTGCATTTTGATCGGTTAGGACAAAAATCGAGTTGGAGAGATGATGGCGGAAAGCAATGTGGAAACTCAATATTTCGCACTAATTCTTGGAAGGTGAATGAGTGCCCCAAACAAAATGTATTTGTCGGATATCCGTCGGATATCCTTCCGATCCGTCGGATACATCCGCTCGGATATATTAAAATAATTATCCTATCCGATTTTTATCCGCCCAATTTTTTTCGTATCCTATCCGGAATTATCCTATCCTGTCCGATCGGATAGGATAATGTCGGATAAAAACGGCAACCCTATGCTCCTCCATTCTTACCCACCACGCTCGCCACAGATATCGTCACAACTTGACGAAAAGTGATTTTTACACGGAAATGAGTTCAGTTCAGGATAAAAGTTATATATTGCGCAAATTTTAGTGTAGGTGGGACCCCTGGACTCGATAGGCACCTTGGAACATTCCCTTGTAAGTAGGTTTCTATGTTGGCTAGCCATTTCAAAAACCTCAGTATGATAAGTAAATTTTTATTTCTGGAATTTATAAACAATTCTCAATTACAGTTACGGATTGTACTTCAGCAGATCTTGACGCTATTCTCCTTGCCTTTTCGCAAACACTGATCTCTTTCAATGTGGATTGGAGGTGTAAGTCACCGGGAAAGATAACACATCACGACCTGCCTAACTTAAGGCAACTGAGAATATGTGAGGAAAGTGATGATATGGAATCGTGCGACTTGTTTAACCTGCGATATGTGTTTTTGGTAGGTAAAATTTCCAAATTTACTGTAAAAGTCAACTGAAATTGGACAGCAAAATCGTTATAATTTTTTTACATTGGCACGAATTTTAAAATTGGGTATTTAAAACGTCGTATGAAATCGCATGTAAAACTCCAGCAATGTGATATTCGACGTTCTGGAAGAGAAATGTGCTAATTCGAGAATAAATATATGATTGCATAGGCCGGCCTCGAGCGACTGATGCCATCTCTCTCCTCGCTAGCCATAATTATGAAGGATAGCAAGACTTGGGACCTCGTTTGGACTGATATATTTCCACATTTGGATTCAACTGGGGAAAGAATGGTGATTCCACAAATTGAAGAATTAAGTATATCAATGGTGGAGGACTGTGACGCTGCAAAGATTCATAGAATTCAAGCCATTTTTCCAAAGTTAAAAAAGTTTTGCCACTTTGGCGAGGCTGAAAATCCAGAACTGCTCCCTGCCGTGAGATTTGTAAGAATCCATTAAAATTTTGACTTTAACATCTATCAAAATCAATTAATCTATCCTGTCCAATAGAATGTCAGTTTGACTATCACGATTTAAATTATTCTGCGATCGAACAGTTTAATTTAATTTTTAAACGGAGAGAATTTACAATCGCAAATTAAATTTTTAGTAAAAATGATCCTGTTTTACTACACGGATCGAATTTATTTTCAATGACGGACTTATTTATTAATTACTGAAATTTTTCAGATCCCTGATCCGGATAGAGATCCTCAGATTTTATTTGTCTGCCGACATGATAAACATTGTCGGCCAAGGAGGGACTGGTGGTTGGACAAGAAGCATGCGAAAAGATTCTGTTTTTATGACTATTTTGCAAATTTTGAAAACGATTTAGGTTACGATGTTTAAACAATTTAAGTTTTACTTGTGCATATGTACAAGGTCGATGTTAATAGTCAATAGTTCCATCACGATTCTGTCTAATACTTCACTATAAAATAATGTTTGTGTCCTTATGCTACATATGTAGGTTTGGTATATCTGTATATGTATGTACATTAAAAAATAACGCTGTTGAATTAACACGCGCGGTGCCTATATGAATCTACCGCCTTCGTGTTAAATCTTAAACCGCACGGTGTTAATACTGACACCAAGGGAATGTGATGTGAATGCAATGTGAAGTTGGCGTTTCCTTTTTTCGTCCAGCCTTTAATTTTGTAGCCGAAAATAGCCAACACCTGACTGCTAAACTAACAGTTTGACAATCCCTCCCGCCAAATTCATGAGACATTGTGAGATGCCGTCCTCAAATGTTCCAACCACCTCAAATTCAAACATGCTGGGCTTCCCGCCCATTTCTGAGGGCAACGTGAGACTCGCACTGATTCAACTCTGATCCTGTCAATTAAGTATTTAAGTTAAACCGGAAGTGTCTTAATAAGTATAGCTTCATCCTAGCCAAGCAAAGATGAAACAACAACTAAACCTTAACAAAAACATGTGAATGAATACAAATTTCATAATAATGGTTAAATAAATGAATTTGTTTGCATATATTCAACCAAATGTTTAATCACACATAACTCATGATCATCAACAAATCCACAAATCAAGCTCATATGTATGTAACAAAAATTTTTACTAACATTTGCCGTCAAGAATAAACCGATATATCGGATACACTTCCTCGGAAACGAAACCTAACACTTGCATACACTCTAAGAAACTGGATGATAGGCGTTATCATGTTCATCACCATATGACTCTACCGCCCCTGGTGATAGGCGTCGTCACCTTGTTGGTGACATTATGTCGCCACCAGGTGATAGACTATCACCGAGTGGTAACAAGCCATCACTGCGTGGTGACGTATCACCACCAGATGGTGATACCAAAAATTCGCATCCATGCATCTGTAATGAGTCTCATCTAATGCGGTGACCAATTAACCAACAAATACCCGGGTGAAAATCAAGTAAATTGTGTCAAATGTTAAGAAATCCGATCTTTCGGATTTAATTCCTCCAAAACGGCTGCAAGGAGTTCCATCTACAGTACCCCAGAAGCTAACCCTCATTTAGCTCTACAAAACCACGTTGACCACTTTTCATGCGGTGGCCAGTTAACCGAGATATACATGGGTAAATATTAAGTACATGGTGCATCAAACGTGAAAAAATTCGATCTTTCGGATTTAATTCCTGCAAAACGGCTCCTAGTTTTTGCATCAGCAGAGCAAAGGAATTAAGTGGACGTGGAAGAATGTCTACAATCGCATGACTGTAAAGGCAAAATATGACTTTTTCCAAGAAGCGTGTTGTTTATTTTTTTTATGAAAAAATACAGTAGTACCTTCATCTTCACAAGAAAAATTCTTTGTGCCGCAACTTGGCGAATTGAGATCTTTTTAATTCGAGGTAAGGTGGATGTGGTCATTTCTCGGTTCAACCTTCAAAGAACTTTTGAATCTATTGACAACCAGAAATGACCCAGCTAATATGGGTTATATAGTTTCTCTCTTGCCCACGAGCGCTGATTTTATCGGTCGAAAATATACTAAAATTATACCAATTTTATTTCTGATTTAAGCGACCGGTGAAATTACCGCTATTTTATTTCTCACCTATTTTCTTTAGCCAGTTTTTGTTGCCAGCGCCACATACAGAGCCGGTTTTAAGCATAGGAGAGTTAGGAAACTGCCTAGGGGAGCAGCGGCGGAGGGGCGCCGGCAGGCTCCCAAGTTTACACTAGGCAAAAAAACTTTCGAAGTTATTTACGGACTTTCTTTGCAAAAGAATTATTTTGCAACTAAACCCATAAACGGTGTATAATTTTCGTACCAATGGGCTAAGGTACCCAAGGGTCGCCAGTACATGAGCCCGTTTATATTGTATTGTTGGATTTTGAGGCTTGTGTGCCATCTATATGTATGCAATGTATTATTGTTAAGCATGGTAAGAGAGACAGGAATATTTCTCTTCGCTACAAGTCAGGTTATGGGGAAGAGCAGATCGTTACCATTTTTCTTTGGATTTGTATTCGTAAAGAATTAATTAGAAAGTAATTGATAAGTCGTGATTTGTCAAGTTTGTCCAATTTTGATAATAATTGTTCATTTTACAATAAATCACATAGCGTTAAATTCAAGTCTTCCAACCACTTAAGTCACAATTTAGGAAGTGAAGCATTAACGGTTAGTTAGGTTAAGAATAAAAATTGAGGCGCATATACTACCTTCCGACCTCGTGTGATTATTTTCGAAAACAGATTTTAATTAACTTGAATTGCTTGAGAACTACGTGTTTTGGAAACAAAATTAAGGAATCCGTACCAGTGTGCCATGGGCTAAAATTCAAGGTATCGGAGGAATTGCAACAATTTCTGGGTTCAGTTTACTATTTCCTACACAATGCTTCTATTATGTTTTAACAGGAAATATTGATCAGCAAATTGTTTAATAATTTAGTATTCGCAATACACACAAGAAATTAAAGACGGTAATCCAACAACTCATGGACGATTCTAAAGGTAGGGCAAAAAATAGTGCAAAGTGTAGAATACATAAATCAGTCCTAGTTGATAATACTTACAATGCGAAGGCATGACGTGCCCAACTCCGATTTTGATGGGACCAAAACAAAAGTGTTCATTGACTAATTATAGTAGCCCAATGTGACAATCATTTCAAAGAATGCTCACTTTGACCCGAGTTATTGAGCGTTAAGTGACGAAAAATGACGCGATTTTCGCAGTGGAGGCGATGACCTCGTCCCATCTTTCTCACCGCTTGCACTCATCCCACTCCATTCTCATCGCTTCTCTCCCTTTGCTAATTTTCTCTTAACATAAAATTACTGTTTTTTTGTCCATACTTTAGATTATATTTTTTAGATTTAACTTTGTCTAATTATTAATTTATGTAAGCCATTTAATGAAGACCATTAACTTCCTCTCTGTGTGTCAAGCATTGGTAAATAGAGTTAAGGATTTGTTTGACTGTGACGAAAAGGAACCCAACGAGGAGGAAGTTGAAATTGCAGAATTATTATTAGATAAATTAAGTGAAGTTGTTCATGACTTTGTGTTCGTGGAGGAATATGACCATTTTAACGGTACATTTTAGTGCAACATTTTTGGTTTAGTACTAAATTACACGATTTGTTTATAGAATCTACCGAGTTGTGTAGTACTGAACTATTTGTCGATGACGATGGTTCAAAAATAGTCGATGATGAAATACCATTGGAGTACAAGAAAAAGGCCGTAGCAGTTTTCGAAAAAAATAAAAAATGGAAATTCCGTACATTCAGACAAAAGTTTTTAAAAGTTAGGGATCCTAGCTACATTAGAAGATGGAAGAGACACATATCAATGGGTATCATCATAATTTCATATATTAGCACAAAATTATGTAACTTCATGAAACTAAATTCAAGTAACATTAATTGTAAAATGCAGGGGGCACTAAATTTACCATAATGAAAGAGATAGAAGAGTTTGTACTGCAGCAGTTTCGCGAAGCAAGGGACCAATTTTTGTCCGTTCATACAATGGATATTCGCCGCTGGGCACTAATTAAGGCCCGAGAATATTCCGGATTCAATTTTAAAGCTTGCAATAGGTGGATAAACGTCTTTAAGCGCCGTAACCGAATTTCATCAAGACGAATTCAAAAACTTGTTAAGAGATCCACCGTGAAAAATATTGACCAACTAATTTCTGAGTCAAATAAGTTTAGAGACGATGTTAAGGTTATGCTGCATAGATATGAACCAGGATGTGTTTGGAATACAGATCAGACAGGGTTCAAATATGAAATTGTGTCAAATCGTACTTTAACATGGAAAGGAGCAAGAACAACTATTGGAACAGCATATTCGCCAAAAAATAAGCTTACACATTCCTACACCGTTCAATATGTCATTTCCTATGATGGATCTATTATTGATAAACTTTATGTCTGCCTACAAGTAATTTGCACATTTCCCGTAAATTACTTTATTTGTCTGAATATGGTATATTTATATTTAATAGGAACCGTCCGGAAAGTTTGGTCCAATGGTAGAAAAAACTTTATTTTCAGCCCCAAATTTGATCACATCTGCAAGTAAATCGGGAAAATTAAGTACTGCACTAGTAGAAGATTTTCTAGACAAAATTATAGTTCCTAATGCCGAGTTTAACCAAATTTTATACATACTGGATAACTGGACTGCACAAACAAATATGCAGCTTTACGATGAACGGTTTGAGGACAAGGAAACTTTTGATTTTAATGTCACATTCGTGCCAGAAAGTTGCACTGATCTTTGTCAACCACTCGATACGTATTTTCATCGTCAGCTAAAATTAATAGTAAAACAATTATACTACTACGACTCTTTGCACGAAATATGGGAAAATTCTGAATTGTGCACAAGAAACGGGGTCCTAAAATTACAATCACTCGTCCATTTCATTTTAAGTGCACCAGTATTTATTCCAATGGTACGTTACTGCTGGTATTCTAGTGGGTTATAGGCGAATAATGAGACAAAGCCGAATTTTAGAAATGTAAGCGAGTTGTGTTTCAAATCCAAGGACCAAAGATGCAATGTTATTCTGTGTGACACAGTGTCGTTCATCAAGTGCTCCTGGTGCCACCATTCTTATTGTTTCCATGACTTTTATAAGCAAAATCACATACTAACTTGTGTTAATAATCCTTTCAATTAATAAATAAAACGTTGATAAGAATTCGTCAATGCGTGAGAAAGTAATTAGCAAACTTTTTAGTAAAAATTGACAAAGGGAGAGAATGGAGTGGGATGAGTGCAAGCGGTGAGAAAGATGGGACGAGGTCATCGCCTCCACTGCGAAAATCGCGTCATTTTTCGTCACTTAACGCTCAATAACTCGGGTCAAAGTGAGCATTCTTTGAAATGATTGTCACATTGGGCTACTATAATTAGTCAATGAACACTTTTGTTTTGGTCCCATCAAAATCGGAGTTGGGCACGTCATGCCTTCGCATTGTTAGTTTGCATACGAATTCTGCTGGTGGAATATATCTAGTTTATCCAAGATGGCTGTAGAAACTGATATACTTTATACATTTTTTTGGCATGGAAACTAGCAATTGTTTTCGTTGTTTCCATCGACATATTTCACAAAAGTAGATCCACAAATTACGAATAATTTATGAGTGGAATTTATTTTCGACTTGAGTAATCTATAACAGAGGATGTAATAATTTGATTATAGCAATTTTTGTTAACAGTGGTAATACATATTGTGACAATTTAGAGAGTAAGTGGGGATGATGATAAAATGAAAAAAAAACTGGACGGGTCAGGTTTAGTCGTGCATACATAGATTGTAACCATGATATTTGTTAAATCATGATATTATTTTCAAGTTTGGCATAAATTGATCCTGCATTCACACGTATGTACATATATGTACATACGTATGAATGTATGATCAATTTATGCCAAACTTACAGAAAAATTT